GGTCAGAGGAAGATGCATAAACTCTAGACAGTTTTTCAAGGTCATCTCAACTCAGCCTTGAATTTTCACATTTCATCACCTAAATCAAGATTGTACACACAGCTTTCTTATAATTAACCATTTTATTTATATGCAGTATTTAGTCAGCTGAGAAATGTTTATTGAGTTTGTATAATGGCCAGTCTTTGCACTGCATTATTGTTTGTACAAACTGTGTCAGTATTGACTTGAAAAGCATAGTTTTTATAGTAAGAATTTATAATCTGGAAAAAATGAGCCTTCCACATGTGACAAGTTAAAAAGCATAATAACTAGAGAACCTATAAGTAAGAAGTAAGGAGTTCCAATGATAGAATAAACTATATGGTAATTTTTCTGAGAGACTTCATTAAAAAAACTAAAGACTTGAGTTGGATGGGTTGGATTTGGCTAAGTGGAACCAACCCAGAGATGAAAAATTGTGTGCAACAGGTACAGAATGAACATAGGCAGAGAAGGCAGAGGTAAATCTTCCTGACTAAAAATGGTAAAAGGCAGAGTATAACAGATATTAAATATAAAATTGAATAATTTAAATACAAATAGATTCATGCAAGATTTTTTGTGTTTGTGATTTAAGAAACATATAACATGCAATCTATTGTCTTGAATTTGTTAGTATACAGTATTGTAGTGTAATATTTAAAATGTATGTGTATTTGGGGTAGCAGATCACTAGAACTTTTTCATCTTGCATAACTAAAATTCTGTACCCATTGAGGAACAACTCCTCATTTCCTGCTCCCAGCCCCTGGCAACTACTATTCTACTTCTTGTTTCTATGATTTTGACGGTTAGATACCTCATGTTAGTAAAATATTGCATAATGTGTCCTTCTGAGACTGGGTTATTTCATTTATCATAGTGTACTCAAAGTTCATCTGTCTTGCAGCATAGGACAGGAGTTCCAACTTTTTATGGCTGAATAATATTCTATTGTTTGTAATACCACATTTTCCTTAGCCGATCATTAATAGACAGTCAGGTTATTTGCATTATTGGCTATTGTAGATAAAGCTGAAATGAACATAGGAGAATAAATGTAATATAAGATCTTGTTTTCAGTTCTTTTAAATACAGAAAGTAATTTGCCCACTTTTTCATTGGGTTGAGTTGTAGGAGTTTCTTATATTTTTTGTTATTAATCCCATGTCAAATATAGATTCTGAAGACATCTTTGCCATTATATAGGTTGCCTTTTCATTCTGTTCATTGTTTCCTTGGCAATGCAAAAAACCTTGCATTTTGATGTAGTCCCACTTGTTTATTTTCAATTTTGTTGCCTATGTTTTTGTATCATATCCAAAAATTGTTGTCATGACCAGAATTATGAAGTTTTCCCCTAATGTTTTCCTCTAAGAGTTTTATAGTTTAGGGTCTCATTTTAAGTCCTGAATTCATTTTAAATTTTTTTTGGGGGGAGAGGAGATAAAATAAATTCCAACTTCATATTTTACCATGTGAATATACAGTTTTCCCCACACTGATGAACAAACTATCTTTTCCTCATTGTGTAGTTTGTCATCTTTATTGCATATCATTTGAGTGTATAGGCTAGGATTTATTTTGGGGTTGTCTATTCTGTTCTTTTATAAAATAAAACATTATGAGACCAAATATTCACATACCGCACAATCCACAAACTTCAAATGCAGGATTCAATAGACTAGCATATTGACAGAGTTGTACAACTATAACTATAATCAAACTTACGTCATTTTTGTTACCTCAGATCAGTACATTCCACCTACTGGCTGTCATCTATTCTCTATTCTGCCACATTGGTCTGTATGCCTCTATTTTTCATACCAAAACACACTACTTTGATTTTTGTGGCTTTGCAGTAGTTTTGAAATCAGGAAGCATGAGACCTGTAGCTTTATTCTTTCTTCAGGATAATTTTTGTTATTTGGGGTCCTTTTGTAATTCTCTATCTACATGAAATTTAAGGTTATTTTTCTGTTTCTGCAAAAGACAACTCTGGGGTTTGAAAGTGATGATAGCATTTTATCTGTTAATCACTTTGGTGGTTTCAACATTTAAAATATTAAATTTTCCCCATAAACACAGGACATCTTTCCCTTTATTTGTGTAATCCTTAATGTCATGAATTAGTGTTTTATAGTTTTCAGTATGAGTCTTTCACTTCATTTGCTAAGTTTATTCCTAAGCATTTTATTTTTGATGCTGTCTTAAATGTGTTGTCTCAATTTCCTTTGCAGATTGCTTTTTGTCAATAGAGTACAACTATTAAATATTGATTTTATATTTTTAATTTTGCAAATTAATTTAACATCTGTGTGTAATCTTAAAATTTTCCAATATATAAGATTGTATCATCTGTGATAGTGTATAATTTTATTTCTTATTTTAAATTTCCATGCTTTTACTTCTACCTTAGGTGCTCTATCTAGAACTTTCAGAACTATGTTCATTAGAAGTGATTGAGAACAGGCTAATTTTCTTTCTGTTGTTAATTTCTAGTTTTATTCCATTGTAGTTGGAAAATGTACTTGGTATGATTTCAGCCATCTTAAATTTGTTAAGACTTGTTTTGTGACCTAACATATGTTCTATCCCCAAAGATGTTCTGAAAGTGATTTAAAAGAATGATTTTTCTCCTTCTCTTGGATAAAATGTTTATAACATTCTCTGTAACATATATATGCATACAGTGTATGTGTTAGGTCCATTTGGTCTATATATTCCTCAGTGTCTGTGTACGATATCTTCCAGAAACCCTGTTGTTACCATAATACATGGATGCTCAAATCCCTTACATGAGATAGCATAGTATTGGTACACAACCTATGTACATCTTCCTAAATATTTTAATATCCCTAATAATACATATGAAAATAGAAATAATTTATAAATATACTATATTGTTTCAGGAATGACAGCAAAAATATCTCATGTTCAGTGCAGATGCAGTTCTTTTTTGAAATTTCTGATCTGTAGCAGGTTGATTCTGCAAATCAGAATATGCTAACTGAAATGTTCTTCATGTCCGCTATTTCCTTACTGATCTGTGTTCCATCCATTTTGGAAGGTGGAGAATTGAGATCTCCTAGTAGAATGGTGTTGCCATCTATTCCTCCTTTTATTTCTGTTAATGATGTATGTGTCTTTAAATCTAAAATAATTCTCTTGTAGATTAGATCTTGCATTTATCCATTCAATTACTCTGTCTTTTGATTAGGGAGTTTAATAAATTCACATTTAAAATAATCACTGAGAGTGAAGAATTTAGGATTGGCAATTTTGTTATTTTTTTGTCTACTTTTGTTGTCACTTTTTTTCTCTCCTGCTATCTTTCTCTGTGTTTGTAGCAATATGTATTGGTTCTTTTTAAATTTTCTTTCAAGGGCTGGGGATTTAGGTCAGTGGTGCCACCGCCTGCCTCGCAAGCGCAAGGTCCCCCCCCCAAGAAAAAACTTATATTTTCTTTCAAGACTCAGATATAGTTATATTCTCTGTAATTACCATGGGGTTTAACCAAAAGATCTTATAACAATCTATTTTAAGCCAATAACTATTTAAATTCAATTGCATAGAACACTCTACTTTTCTACTGTGTGGAAGATTTTGAAAGGGGTAAGATGAAGAGATGTTCTAGGAATACAAAATAATAGTAAATTATTGATATAAATATTGTGAGTATGTAGGGAAGATAAATGAATTTCCAATTTAGAGATTTGCAAACATGAATCAATGTGTGACAGATAAGTAGAAAGGAAATTAATATTTATCAAATCCCTATTATATTTTAAGCACTGTTTTATTTATTCCGAAAGAAACCTAATGATGCTGGTGGCAACATAAGTCTATATAGATAAGGAAACTGAGGTGGTAAGAATTAAGTCATGGTTCTATATATTTTAAATTTTTGTGTTTGGCATATGATAAATATTAAACAAATATGCACAGTTTAAATAATGATGATAGAAAAACCATTAAGTTTTGTAAACAATTAAGTTATGATTATATATATTTTAAATTTAAAACTTTAAATATATGATAAATGTGAAACAAATATTCACATTTTAAATAATGATTATAGAGTAAATCCCATTAATTTTTGCTAACTGGAGGCTCCTGTATATGTCTCCCTAATATGTTTACCTTTTCCTTCTCTGCACTGAGAGGTAATCATGCTCTTATTTTTCTATACATGTAGGTTCCTACAATGTCTATTGCTTATCTTGTTTTAGAAATTCACATAAATGAAATTATAGTATAAATGTTTAACAGTGACGTTCATCTTCCCGTTAGTCTTGACTTATTAAACTAGGCTGATGCATAGATTACATGTTATCTTTCGGCTTAATCTAGGTTGATTCCCATGATTATAGTGTCCATTTTTAATCTATGTAGTATAGTGTAGTATTCTAAACCACTACATAGATTTAGTATATTTTATAATAATGTTTATTATAATAATAAAAATTGTATAATAATTTGTTACAATTTTTGTAATACTACTGTTGATAGATATTTAGCTTTTGTTGTGGTTAATTCCAGAGATGTTTTATGTTTGTAAAGACTGGCTTAGTAAAGATTGTGTAAAGTCCGATTTAGAGATTCAGCACTCTATGGCCATGAGATCAAGTTCTTGGATTTGACTATTTACAGTAAGTCTTCTCTGTTCTGGCCTTTTATCTGCTGAAGCTATTAATTGCTGCACTATGATATTTCTAATAGGGAATTTGTCAATTTGTCTTTATATATCAGTTATTTTATATTTAGAATTTATATTATTAGAGGCATCCAACTGAGATTTGTTTTCCAGTTTTTTAGATGCTACCTTATAGCTTCTGCTCACCTACCTTCCCTTCTCATTTTGATAACCTCTCAGTGAATAGTGCTAAATGGAACTGCCCATCTCCAGATTAATGCTGACTGATCAAAATGTTAATATGTAATGACTTTTATTTTGTGTGTTTATATTATTTTAATAGGGACTTCTTGGAATGAGAGGACCTCCTGGGCCTCCTGGTCTCAAAGGAACTCAGGTATGGAGGAAATGAATATCCACAATTTTTAAATTCACATCTTCCTTTTTATTTTTTGTGGAACTACATTTTTTTACTTATAGAGTACTGCCTTAATGTTCACTACTTTTTGCCATGAGAAATTTCAAGTTACCGTTACATATGGACAATTATGGAAAAAAACTTTGAATTACTTTACAGCCTTCTGAGTTCATTAAGTGATTTATGTCAGTGTTCTCCAATGGTATAATGAAGAATCTGAACCTAGAATTTCATGCATATGACCCAGTTTGTGACTCAATAAATTATATTTTAATTGAATTTAATTTGAACAAAATTTTTTGTTTATAAAATACATAAGATATATGATTCTAAGGATGTTCAAATAGTTTAAGACGTGGTAACATTGGCTAGTAATATTATTAATTAGAAGATGAAGAATTCAATATATTTAGTAAATATGTATATACTTAAAATATAAACAATTTTTATTTATTCTCAGAGAAAAATGACTAGGAATCTTTATGTTTTTCTATGTTCATCTTCAGTCTCTATCCATCCATTCAGATTTTGATTGTTAAAAGCATACACTGTATTTTATGCTTCATACATCTTTATACATTGTGGCTGGGGCTGATTTGACCCCAAGAATATTTGGCCTGTGAATTAATCAAGAATAAGCCCTAGAGGTAGACAGTAAATGCTATTTGGATAGGATGTAACGTACCTTTGTCTCTCTCAAGTTTAAGACAGCACTATGACTCAAAAAATGACTGAAGTATCAAAATGTACAGAGAACAAGCATGTTTTGTATATGTAATTTTTTCAATATACCAATGTGTATTGATTTCCACTTGTTATGAACTTGAGTTTTTGTGAACCTAACACAGTAAAGATTATCCTCAATTAATAATCAGTGATTCCTAATACTGTTTTTTAAATATTTTAATTGCTCTTCTCTTTCTCCACTCCCAGTTTTCGGAATATGACTTTTACCATCTTCCATCTTAAGAGTAATCCAATAGCACATAACTCTCTTAAGGTAGATGTAGGATAAGAGCAAAAAATATTAAAAGGTATAACATGATACATTTCTGAAATACAAGAGTCACAGTATTATTTTTATCACATCTCAGAAATAGCTACTGCTTGCAGAATAAAAAATAAGGGTTTAAATTTTTAAATACTCATTTTAAGCTATAATATGTTTTGATTTTTTTAAGGGAGAAGAAGGACCAATTGGACCCTTTGGAGAATTGGGGCCAAGAGTAGGTGTCACATAAACAATTTCTACAAGTGCTTCTTTTGAAAACAGCCCTTTTGCAAACATTTTTAATAACAAAAATTGATAGCAAAGGACAATAAATTTTAAAAACTATTGTCATAAAATCCCCAAAATACAGTAAGCCAAAACTGAAATTTTTCTAGGAATATTCTGAATTATATTATATCTAGCTATATATTTACTTGGTTCTTCAGTAGTCTTAGCATTTGTGCAAATTATACAAGTTTCTTAAAAGATAGTTGGAAGCAAATTCTTTGGCTATTATAGTAATATCCTGGAAGTTTCTGTTTTCAGTGTGTCAGTAAAATTACAGAGAGCTACTTTTTCCTCAGATAGTACTATCTTGTGATATATAAACTATTGTTTGAGGTTTTTTAATGAATTTAAACATTTTTGGTCTATATGATCAAAGTCTACATTAAGAGGGAAGATATATATGTTGTATTTCTTTTGTGCTTTGTGGAAACCATTAGATCTTTTAAGCACACATTACCATGAAATACGTGTAATTATCTTGCCTTGAGAACATCATAAATTATAGATTCTTTAAATATTGTTTACATTTCAAGAGACAGTAATTATTTATTTTGTACCTTTACCTCACTAGCACATATATTTCTACCATACCACTTTTTTTTTTTTTTTGTACCAGGGATTGAACTCAGTTCCTTGCGCTTGCAAGGCAGGCCACCAAACTGCTGAGCTAAATCCCTGGCCCATCTACCATACTACTTTTAAAAAGACATATTTTAGAAGGAAAAAATCATAAAACAAAAAACTGTTCTTTAAGCCCAGTAAAATTTATCTCATTGAAAATTTACTTCCCTAAAAACAATAGAATCATATTCACCTCTTGCCTACTCAGGCTTATTCTTTTTTCCTCGTACCAGGGATTGAACTCAGTACCTAGTGCTTGTGAGGCACGTGTGGTGCCACTGAGCTAAATCTTCAGCTTATTCTTATTATTAATATTATTTTTCTACTACTGGTTGAAGATCAATTTGGGGCCTAGAATTGCTTTAAGTCTATCACAAGAATCAACCCTCATCTAGAAGATATTCTCCCCACTTTTTAGATTGAAAGTAAAATTTCAGTATCACCTGCTTAATGGCACTCAAAGTAAACCTAATGTGACAGAATCTAAATAGGGCCACAATGCATTACATACTCCATTAGGATGTTCTGAATGGCTTTTATTTCTAAGAAATTATAAATGTACTGATAGCAGATTTTGGTGATATTTCTTCATAATGTAGTTATCACATATAACTCTTTTAATATGTGAAAATGCTTAAATGAGTATTATATTATTAAAGATGAAAGGAATATTCTCACTGATGCCATCCCTACATTACGTAAATTAAGTGGATTGACTTGCTGAAAATTCTTTTGAAATTATCATAGAGAAATTTAATAATTTAGATTCTTTACTGAGTTTCTTATCCTACCGTGTATTTTCAAATTAATTAAAAAACAATTGACGGGCTGGGGATTTATCTCAGTGGTTCTGCTGCCTGCCTTGCAAGCGTTAGGTCCCAAGTTCAATCCCCAGTACCAAAAAAAAAGCAATTGATATTTCAAAATTGTAGGATGATTTTCTTTTCTTTGATGTTTTGTTCTTTGTGGAAACCATTAGATCATTTTAAGCAAATCAGAGGCAAAAATGAGAACAACTTCTTAGCTGGAAGTCCAGAATATAATTTTAAATTGCTAAATTGTTTACATATTATCAAAACAGAATGAGGGCCCAAAGATCGTTTTATTTTATTTCATTTTGAGGGGGAGGATATGGGAATATTTCTAAATGAGCATCAGTATTAAAATCCAAATGTATAATGACTAGTAGGTTCTATAAATTAGTGTTCTATTTAACTTTTTCCTTCACCATTGTACTCTTTGTAAATTTGAATTTTTTTCACACACTGCTTAAAGCCCAGTGATCTCACTAATGAAACATATGTAATGTTACCAGTTGTTTGGTATTAGAAATAAAGAATAAAGCACCCAAAATCCAGGATACTGAGTCCCTCAACTTCACAGGTAGCATCTTCCACTCTCTTCAGCTCCTCAGCCACAGTCATCCATTGCTTGTCGATACAAGTACCACCAACTTCTCTTCATTTTCAATTACAAACTTCTCCCTAACTACCATCTTCTTTCTTTTTCGATATATTGCCTCTCACAGCCCCAGTAGGAATTTCAGTGCATTGATCGTATTGTTTGCCATTATTCCTTATCTCCCTCATCATGCCATGTCCCTCTTCATCTTCCTAAAACACTATCATTATCACTGATTACATTCTGAATTCTATTTGCCTGCCCACTTATTCCTTTACTTTTTTAACTTCTTGTTTCTTTTTATTAGTTTTTCAAAGTATGCCAAAATAGTTTTCTTTTCATTTTTTGAAAAAATAAAACAAAATTTCATAACAAAGTAATGGGAAAATAGCAATAGTTATTACACTAGGTATCACTGTATTCAAAGTAGTTGCTCAGACGACAAGACGTAGACCAAAAAGATTCTTATATGGGCAAGGAAATGGAGTATTACACTGCCATAAAGAAAGACAAACTTGAGGCATTCGTGGGTAAATGGATGCATCTTGAGAACATCATGTTGAATGAAATGTCAGATACACTAGCTTAAATATCACATAGTTTCTCTTATATGATAAACAGAGTATATACATACACAAATGAAGAGCAACATAGAAGAAAAATAAATGGAGTTTAAATACTTCCCCAAATTACTTATTTGGTTATTTCAAAAATATTTTAATTTATACTAATATTTTTCATTTATACTAATTTATGTTCATTTTCTTTTCTAAATTACTGTTTCATACTTTCTCTTATCCTCAAACTAGATTCACTTATTTCACATCTGCATTGTTAGTCTTTACTTTGCTCCCTACTTTCTTGCGAAGATAAATCAGAAAAAAAAAATCAGTTTTCTATAAGTACACCTATTTGCCTCCCTTTGTCTGTGCTCATTTGTTCTAATTTCATTTCTGTTTTGTGAATTAACAGCCTCTGTTGCCAACTGAGATGAGATTTCCAGTTGTTCAAAACATACATTGTATGTTTACTTATTCAAGAGCATTGATCCAGCAATTCTTTGTACCCCTTGCATCTTAATTCTTTTCCTCTACTGGATCATTTCTGTCAACATATAGGCCTGATGTTATTTTGATTCCAATTCTCTAAGTATTACTACATTTCTCTCCTTCCTTTTCAGTAAAACGCCTCAAAATTATTATACAGTGTACACCATTTCGTTTTCTCCTCCATCTGTATAAATCAATTTTGACCCTACTATTCCAAAACAAATGATGTCATAAGAGTAATTAGCCTCCATATTGCTCAATCCCATGGTTATTTCTCTATCCACATAATCTTCATATTTCAATAGTCATATTCCTCTGAATTTTTTAAGAAACACTCTACTACTGGAAACATTTTCTTTTCTTGAATGATTTTCTTCCTAACTCTTTGCCTTCACATTTCATAATTTTCTCATTTCCTCAGATTCTAAATTCTGGAATGTTCCAAGCTTTGGTGGATAGACTTTTTTCTGTCTATACTCACTTCCTAGACAATTTCATGTAGTCTTGTGACTTCAAATACCATCAAGATACTGGTGGTTTCCAAAAGGGTAATTTTGATCAAAACTTTCTACCCTTGACCTGTAGACCTGTATAACTACTATAAGATCCCTCCACTTGAATGACTAACAAGAATATCTAATTTGGTCCCAAACCTGTTCTCACAGCTGCCTTCATTTCATTTCTATAGTTACTCAGGTTAAAATTTCTAAGTTCATTCTTAACTCCTCTTTTTCTCCCATATTCCACACATAACCCACCAGTGGTTCCTGAAAGCTCTATGTTCAAACTGCACTCAGAATCTTGACTTTCTCACAGCCTCCTCTGCTAGCACCATGATCCATATATACTGCAATTAACTCTTACTTGGATCACTATATTAGACTTGTTGGACTCCCTACTTTTGCTCTTGGATTAAAGTGATGCTGTTAAAATATGCATCACATCCCTTTTGCTCTCATTGCTCATGTAAGACTTCCTGACTCGCTTTGAGTAAAAGTCAAAGCCCTACTGTGATTTACAAGACCCTGCATGACCTGGCTTTCCATGCACCTTCCTTTGATTAAATCTTATTCATTTTCCTATCTTATTTCTGCTTCAGCTACAGTGATGTCTCCTGGTTGCACCAATTTTCCATGTGCATTGCTAATAAGTACCTTTGAACATGGTCTTCCTCTGCCTGAAATTCTGTTCTTTCAGAAATCCACATAACTTTTCCTTTTCTTTAAGTCTTTATGCAAGTGCCATGTTATTCGATGAGTTCTTCTTGCCTGGAAATCTTTAAAATTTTTCAACAAAACTGTTACAGCACTTTATTTCCCTCTTTCCTCCTTAATTTGTTGTTCTTGATACACATTATCATCTACACTAAAATATAAGCTGTATGAGGGCAGATATGTTCAATGCTGTCTCACCCCTCAGAATCTAGAACTGTGAATGACCTGAAGGAGACAGTCAAGTATTTGTAAAAGAAATGGGTAATGACTATAATAAGATATATTTATCAAATAATTTTGAAATATTTCATTTTGTAAGAATAGTTTATATTTCATAAACTTAGAAACTTTCAGAAATCAGAATGACTAAATATATCTACTTTTCTTCCTTTTATATTCTAGGGAAAACCAGGACAAAAGGGGTACACAGGTGAACCAGGACCAGAAGGCTTAAAGGTAAAGAACCTACCTTTATTAATAGTTTTAAAGTATAATTTTCAAAAGACCAAATTATGACTTTTGTACAAATAGGAAATGAGCACAAGTCAACTTAAAGGGAACTAGAAAGATTTAAAAGTGATTCCAAGAACAATTGAGAAGCTGTTTTTATATTTTTATTAAGATACTATTTAATAAAGAAATATTAGAATAAGATTTGTAGGGTAAATACAGAGCAACAGACCATAACTTTGGATTTTATCTATTCCACTGGTCAGATGTAACAAATACAATGCAATGTAGCAGTTTAATCAGCACAAAGGACTGAAAGAAACTAGTTTATAAGAGTGGCTAACTTTTTCAAATTGAATATTCATCCAAAACTTGAGTCACAACATTATTATTGAATTTTTTATAGTAAGCTTATCATTTTTGTGATGCTGGAATCTAAGGTCAATGAAATATGTGAAAGCATTTTTTTAATGTATCAGCATTTCTATCTGTGAATAAAATCATTCTCAAGCAATATGTGCACCTAAATCTTTCTCCAATTATATACAAAGACTCCAGAAAGCAGAAGCAAAATATTCATAAAGAGAAGGCTTAATAAAAACTCCTTTACTACAATTCATTATTGCGCTGCCAAATAGTCCTGGAAAATCCAACTGTGAGTTGCCATTCAGTCAAACTGGCAAGAAACTAAATCTCAGTCAAATTTGATATCCTGCCTTCTCTCTTGGAATCAAAGTATAACCTAGATCACGTTTTGTTACCCGGGAAATGGAGAAAATTCTTAATGTCTAATTAATTCTTTAATGTCACTGGAATTTGTGATTCACTGCATTGTGCAGCTATTAACTGAGGCCTGACAATCACTGGGGAAGCACTTGGGGGTTGGACCAGGGTCACCACTTTTCATAGAACCCTAGGATCTCTCTTCTTTCCCAAGGCCTGGGGAAGTATTTGTCTCTCTCCTCATCCTCAAAGGCAAGTTACTTCTTACCTTCAACCTCTGAAACTAAAGCAGGAATGCAAGTAATCTGCAAGTAACATCTGTTTTCTACCTGTTAGCACAGACCTCCTCTAAGACTAAATAAGGCAAAATGTTCCTCTTCTTTTTTGAAAAGGGTAACTTATGGGCAATGAAGGAATAATAATAATAGAAATTAATAACCTATATACTATTCCACCATGAAATTTTCTACAAAAGCTAATGAGCTATCTGTCAAAAAGTAGCTATTCAAACCTATTGCAATGCTTTACTCTTTAGCATTTATCTAAATACATATAGAAATTGAACAGAAAATAAACTTTGTAAACTTTTAATTTCAAAAGTGATTACATTAGATTTCAAATGTTTAAAATCAGTACTTTTCAATAGAAATATAATGTAAACTACAGATATAAGCCACATTGTAAAGTAAAAATAAATGGGTAAAATTAATTGCAATAATATAAAGTGTGACCAAAAAATACAATGAATGTTTAAACTGTGCAAGGCATGTTTCTCTTAATCCTTCTCGAAATACTCTTCCTCATTTCCAATATACTTATCCCATTTTTGCCACTTTCTGAAGTAGTTCTGGGAACCCTCTTTTGTATCTTTTCATGGCTGCCTCAGCGTCTTGATGCTTCAAAATGTTTATGGCAATTTCTATCAAATAAAACATTATAGTGTGTCTTCATCCACCTACCTCAGTGGATCTGGAACCTTGTGATTTCGGGCTCTTCCCCAAAGGCAAAAGGATCATGACAGGTAAACATTTTGAAATGATTCACAAGGCAGTCACAGCCCAATATAGACACTCGTGACAGAAGACTTCTAAGAACTGCGTTAGTGGCGAGAGCACTGAGAGAAGTGTATTTGAAGCAAGGAGGAGTATTTAGAGGGAGCAATGTGTCTTTTACTATAATAAATTTTAAGATTTAAATATAAATTTGTCATATATTTTATCATACCTCATTTAATCGAAGGAATAAAATATTATGTAATATACAAAAAATATTAAATTATGAATGAGATACTTTGTTTTCTTTTCTTGCACAAAGGTTTTGAAGTATGATGTGATTTTTACCCTTCTATTTCAATTCAAACCAGTTCATACTCAGAGCTATATGCCATTATTGGCTATGATTATTATTCAGTATATTAACATCTTATTGCTCAATAACACATTACAATTATTACCTTTTAGGAAGACATTTCTGTAAAATAACTATTTATTCCTGTTACATTCACTGTATGTGTTACCCTGAATTTAATCCTTCCATTAATATATACCTTGGCATAGGCCATTTCCTACCACTGAAAATGGCCTTTTCTTATCACTACTACAAGTATTTCTGATTTATCAAAGCCCACCTCATCTACTATTTCATAATTTGAATTCATTAATACTTGAATGTTTGAAAAGTAATGCCATGCATTTTACAAAACACTACCAACAGATGATAGGATAGCATACCGTAGTCAGATATATTAATATTCCTGCAGTGAATGAGTGTTCAGATTCATCAGAATAAATCAGGACTATAAATGAGTTAAATTAGGTATTGATGCCACAAAATTATATTAGGTCAAGTTCAACACCAAATGAGTTGTGAAAAGTCTTCAGTTTTCAGAGCTACTATTTGTCTAGATTGCCTCTGCTAGCTACTTCTGCTCACAGGGTGCCTGCCCCTGTGTCTTCCTTTAGTACTTACCTGGGACGTGTTTTCTCTTCTGCTGAGCAAATAGAGCATCCCTCTGGGTAAGGGATTTCTTTTTCTTTTCTTTTCTTTTCTTTTCTTTTTTCCTGTACCAGGATTGAACCCAGGACCTTTTGCTTGCAAAGCAGGCACAGTGCCACTGAGCTAAAAGGGATTTGTTTTTTTAAGAGCTTTATTTTTATTCTTAATATTTTTCATAGTACCTGCCATTCTGCTTTTTTAGAGGGTACAAATGAAATGTGTTTTTATTTTTTTGAATGTTATTTATAAATGTCCTTAAAGTGAATAAGAGTGATGAATGAGAGAGTGTAATTTAAGAAAATATGTTATTATCAGTTAAATGAAAATGTAGGGGTGGCCACATTTCACAGAAATACTCTGACAGAGTAATGACTAACAGAGATTCCCTTTACTTTTTCTAGGTTTTGACTAGGTAATGACATAAAAATGAAAACAGAAGCATTGCTATAAGTTTGTTGAAAAAACAATCATTTTTGGAATCCCTTATTCTTCGTTAACAGGGAGAAGTAGGAGATCAAGGAGATATTGGGAAAATTGGCGAAATAGTAAGTTTATTTTATGCTCTTATTTTCACTTTTTAAGTCATCTATAAGTATTTTAGAATCATGTTAACTATTATCTGTTTCTATAATCATGTTAGCAAGAATCAGAATAAATTTTATTCACTACAAATTTAAATTTTTTTTTGTAATGCTTCTATATAGAACCTACTACATTTAAGAGGAATGAGAAAAAACCCAGTCAATTATATGTTCATCCAACATACATTATATTTGTAATCTCAGGAGGATTCTTGTTTCTAATATTTACTATTGAGTTTTAGTTCTGACAACTTCAATATAAATTTGATCTGAGCAATCTTCATTATTAAAAATCTTATAAAGCAAGCTATTTTATACTTTGAAGATAATTTTTCCTAAGATTGGAAAGGTTGGGGTAAATAAAGAGGTAATTCACTGGAAAGTATAGTTTCTTTCTTCAAATGTAGTTTATGTTGCTTAAATTTCCTTGACTGTGCAAGTGCAAGGCTTGTTATATATGTTATATTTGATTCAGGTATAAAATAATTGCATTTTCTACAATGAGGAAATCCAGCAAAAATGTTTTCTTAACAAATAAACTTACACAATATATATAGAGTGGTAGATTGACACAAGTGAATTTATTTATAAGGTGCTAGCTTAACTTAAGGCAAGTGATATATAATTCATTAACATAAATGAGCAAATTCACTGTACCCTATCCTAATGATGATTTAAATAGATAAAAATTTTTACAAAATTGTTTTGTAAGTGTGGGTAATTAAACTATTATTAATCTTTGTTTTATAATGAAAATGTTCTGGTATTCTTATTCTTTCCATTGATTATTAGTAAAAAATAGAGGATGGTTTATGTCTTAACAGATCATTGCTACTCCCAGTAATTCCTGGGTGATATTTCATATTATGAAATTTCATTTAATTCTCAAACAGTTTTAAAAAATATATTTTGTTGTTCCAGCCTTTAAAAAGGGAATTGAATACACAAGAAATAACCACTTCGAAGTTATATAGCTAGTAAATTGCAGGCTAAAGTATAAAGCCAGAGTTTCAAATTGAAAATCCAAGTCTCTACATTATACCATGCTAGAATGTTTTAATATTTGTTGAACAACCAGTTGGTCTAGATATTATAGAGCTAGTTTAAGTATTAGACAAATTATTAAACAAAAGGATCTTTCTTACTTTGAGATCTAAGTATTGAAATAAAGCAATTTTTTTCAATTATTGCTTATGTTGAGTAAAATAAAAATATATAAAATTCCTAAAGAATATTTTGGGTTTTCTGTAATTTCCAACTTTTATATTATCTCATTATAGTTCATCTAGTCCAGAGTTTTGTCAAGAAGAGAATTCTTAGGGCCAGGGATTTGGCTCAGTGATTCCGCCACCTGCCTTGTAAGCACAAGGACCTGAGTTTGATCCCCAGTACCAAAAAGAAGAAGAGAATTCTTAAAGCTGGATATGGTGCACAGGCCTCTAATCCCAGCACTTGGAAAGCTGAAAGTAGAAGGATCACAATTTCAAGCCCAGCCTGGGCACCTTAGTGACTTAGCACAACCCTGCATTAAAATAACAAAATTTAAAAAGCTAGAAATGGAAAGACCCTGGTTTCAATCTCTAAAACCATAAAAGGGAAGAGGGAAGCGGAGAGGAAAGATGAAAAGATAAGATTGCATTTCATGATGTCAATCTTGTAATTAGCTCCTACTTAATCTTTATGATCATTTAATTGCCTTCAGTGGACCCCCTCCAGTTTTTTTCTGGATCTATACTAATTAGAACCAAATTTTTCATACATCATGCCAAGAATAGAAGAGTTATCTATATATTATATCTGCATACATCTTATAGTAATTTTCTTATACAAAGAATTGGTTCATATAAGCATGCCCTGAAGGGGCCTCTAATTTCAAAAGTGCCCTCTTATCTCTTTTATTCTAGTATTCCACTTTTTCTAAATAAATCTATAACTATCCCATTTTAATGAATAATTCTGTGTCTTAAACTGTCTAGGAAAAGATTCTTTGAAAAGCTATAAAGAAAAATAGAATATGCTTTTTTTCGGTATAGGCTGAGACCAGAATCAGGATCAGTACAGATATTCTAAGAGAAGAGCTATTGGTTTAACACAGGGAAGAATATTTTTTGGGGGAGGTGAAAATATTTTAATAAAATTTCTATGCTCACACAGACTCTTTCATAGAGTGATTCCAAACTTCGTCATTAGAACAATGATGCTTATCACTAGTCATGCATTCAGCAGACATTTGCTGATTGTACTGGTCACATTTGAATGTATGATCCTCTTCCTGAAACTTGAACTCCGTGGGGAGTTGACAGACAGTAACTAATCACATGATGTAGCAAGTGTGATGTAGTCTATAACAGAAAGCATAAAAGGCTATGACAAAAGTGCCAGATTCAGGTCAGGAGATGATAAAAGGCTGTTTTGAGGAAATGACATGTGCGTCACAACCATAAAGAATAGCACATATCAGGGAAGAGCGTGGAGGACGAACATTCTGGGAATATACAGTGAAACGTATTTCTCACTTTTGCTACTTACTTTCCTGTGGGAAAATTGCTTCAGTTCTCTAACTTTCTTTTTTCAGCAGGAAAGGGAGGAGAATAATGGTGGAATTTCTTATTAAACACGATAATGCACATAGAGCACTTGGCACAGCACCGGTCACAGAGTAAACACCTGATCTCAGTAGCTGCTGCTGTGCTGGAGGAGGTGGTTTCCATTTTTCCTTTTCTCATATTTCTTCTTTCCCCTTCCTTCCTTTCCCCTACCCTTCCAGCTTCCCCTACTCCTTTAGCCCTTTTCTTCCTATTACACAATATGAATTATACATTTTGACCCTTACTTACTTACACTTTTAGTTTTTCATACCAGAGAAACTACTCACTATTTATACATGTGTGTCCCATTTATTTCACTTAAGTATCTCAGCAATGTGTAACCATTTAGCTATAAATATTTCTAGTTTCTCATTCTTTCTGGATGATATTACTCCATTTTATAGAAAAACCACATCTTCTTTATTCAGTCTCCAGTTGATGGGAGACTGAATTGGGCTGTTTCCAAGTTTTAGCTATTACAAAGTGTGCCACTATAAATATGGGTGCATGTATGTCACTATGATATGACTCTTTTAATTCTTTTTGAAAGAAACCCAGCAGAGGGATAGCTGGGTCACATGGGACCTCTAACCCTAGTTCTTTAAGGTATCTCCATATTGATTTCCACAGTGGTTGCACCAGTCTGCACTCCCACCAGTGGAGAAGGATTCCTTTCTCCCCATGATCCTGCCAGCGTTTGTTACTGGTTGATTTCTTGATAGCAGCCATTCTTTCTGGGGTGAGGTGGAATCTCAGTGTTGTTTTCTCCAATGACCACTGTGATGCTGAACATTTTTTCATATATGTATTTGCTGCTTTTACTTCTTTGCCTGAGAAATGTCTTTTCATTTCAGATGCCCATTTTTGAATTGAGTTTTTATATTTGTGGGGGCCTGATTGTTTTGAGTTCTTTATATATTCTAGATAGTAGACCTTTGTCTCAGGAACAGCTGGTAAAAATTTATTCCCCCATTGTGGGTTGTCTCAGCTCTGCTGGTGGTTTCTCTTGCAGTGCAGGAGCTTTTTAAAAAAATGACATCCCAGTTGTTGCTTCTTTGTGCTAGTTCCCATGCTACTGAAGATTTGTTCATATAGTCTTTCCCTATGCCAGTGTCTTAGAGAGTTCTACCTAACTTATCTTCCAGTAAGTTTAGTGTTTCTGTTTTAATATTTAGATCTTTAAAATGTGATAATGATCTTTATTATGTTTTTTATTGTTAATAACATTGAATACCATGCAGACATTTTCCTATAACAGGAAACTGAAGATATCTTTGGGAAACAATCAACAGTAACTCCTCAGATCGTCAAATGGCTTGTTATTTTAAATATAAAATGTGGATATTTTTTCACAAGGTGTCCTTGATTATATTAAGCTTTGGTTGCCACATTTCTGCTCACTTGAAATGATTCATATAATTATTCTATAATCTGACTACATTGATTTATCTCTTCAAATATAACCCAATTTATTTGATTTTACCTCATTTTTTCATTATCTATTTAGCAAGATTTTTGGAGCAATGTACCACATCCTCCCTGTTTTACTTCCTCCTACTTGGAATGTTAATGCTGAATGATGTGCTAAATGACTTGAACAGATAGAAAGATGAAGATAGGCTACAGATAATCCGCAAAATCAAGCAATCAATTTTCATTGCAAAATCTGTACAATCAAAAACCTTCTGATGGTTGATCCCAAGCTGGATTGTAATCAGTTTGTTCAAAACCAAAGAGAGGTTATGAAATCAGAGAGGAAAAGAAAAAAGAAAAGAATCTATTTATTGAAAATCTACAAATGTTCCTGTTCTCATTCTATAAATGAGGAGACTGAAACTTGTTGAAATTATATAATGTCCAAATTCCTACAGCCAGCAAGCCACAGATCTGGATTTCAAATTCAAGATTTCTATATCCAGTTCCAAGGCTCTCTTCTCTGCATCAAATAATTTTCAATTTGTCCTGCCATTAAATGGAACCTTGAAATACATCCTTGGGGTTAGGAAGTTTTGATTTAATGATTAGGAAGACTTGAAAAATGAACAAAATAAGGGTTTACTCAGTAATATCTGAAGCCAAAATGGGCTATTTAATTTTTAAAATATTGTCAAATGCTATCAGTTTTTAGGAATTATGGAAACAATGTATTTATAATGGAAATGGGAAAGATCTGTAAGGAAAAGAAAAATATTTTAGAAGTGCTCGCCGTAAAATCTCACTTGACATAGTGGTTAGTTTTGCCGCTCTCAAGTAGAATTACCACGCATTTAGTTTGATATTAGTTGATATTAGTTTTACTTTTTTAATGAGTTTCATTTTTTTTTCTTTCACTGAGAGTAAAACACTAGTTTTAGGGGAACCTACTTTAATCATCAT